TGGCGCAAATGTATGACGTCATATACTGTCCTATGTTTTGGAACGAATCACCAGTATAGCGTCGATTCATGACGTCATTTGCATTGGATAGTACACTGGGTTCTATTTTGGAACATACCCCAGATTTTACTCAATGATATTATCTATAATAAATATCATGCAGTTAAAACACTTCCGAAATGAAGAGGAATACAGCGATATGTCGAATTTCAAATACCGACATGCAGCTTTCCGATTACAGGCTGTCTCAAATATTATCAAAATATATTTATAATATTCTTTTTGAGGCACTCAAGTAAATAGAATTAAAAATCTAGAGGCACTAAAATTAAATATAGCGCCATCTGCAGTTAAAGGAGAAAAGGAAAAGGAGTTTATTCGTTTTACGCAACAATCTCCTTTCATTTATTTGCTTCTAGAGTGTCACGTTTACCGTGAAGAGAATCCCTTAAAAATATGTAATTATGCACTTAATTAATTATAGAAAAATCGCTATAAATACTATCGTCTACCCACAATTTGTCAGTAAGATCATAATGCAATTATTTGCTTCACGGCTATTAATAACACTCGTAATATTAAAATTGAAATATACTACTGAGATTATTCGACATAATATAAAGTCATCATATCGATTTTTATAATTGACGTAGAGTGGTAAAAATTGGTCTGTTTTGTTTTGTTCAAAAACAAAGTTCTTATTTTAAAGTGTAAAGCAAAATATAACTCATAATAAATATCAATATTCACAAACTATGCTTGCACGATAAAATAGGATCGCGTTTATTATTACTTAAGTCATTTTTTTACTGCTAGCAAAAAATATAAGTAGGAAAAATAATAAGAACTAAGTCCTAAAATACATACATACATAGCGTTTATAATCCTGAAGCAGAGTCCAAAGAGAAACGAGCTACTCAAAACAATTTTAGCCAAAAAATATGGATGTAGAAGTAAGAAGTCATAGAACCTGACTAGCCTAGCCATCGTCTGCACAATCACAAACCCAGCATCATATTAGTCGCGTTTTACAACATGCTTGGCTAGTAGCACATTAAGCACATTCTTTTTTGCTATAAGTCAACATAGGACCTAAAAGTCTCAGATCAACATGGGACATGGGAGAGCAATTTACTATATAGTATAACTACTTAGTTTTTCATTGAGTATATATTGTTGATTTTATCAATATTTAAGTATAGTTTATATATTGACTTAAATTTTGGTAGCAATATTGCAAAAATCATCATCTCAACTTGCCGCATATTTGAGGTTATATTGTTTTAATAATCTCCCCCAGATTGAGTTTCTGTCACAGCGGCCGGTCTCAACATAGGCTAGCCATCTACACAGGACAGGATTATAGTGCCGAATGTGTACGTCAGCAAACGTGATCTATCTATTCCTTTACTTCCTTAGTCCGATGAGACGTCAAATGGTCACGATCGGAGAGATATCAGGCACAGCACCAAGCTTTCTGTGCTTTCTGAGGCACGGGGTTGAAACACTGCCAACTTCCTGACTCGAGGCTGCTACTCGGATAGAATTTTTGACAGGAAAAATATTATATTGTCCCAAAATATTATATACGTCCCAATATTATATTCTTTTACTTCTTAAGTAAAAGTAAATTAATTTTTTTGAATAGGTATATTGCTATCTTTTACTTTTTGCACATCTAAACAACGACTAATTGTCAATTTGATCGATCTATTCATTCGTGCGCGCATAGTTTCTTCATTTCATTGATAAATTATAATATTTTTTTATATAGTGTTTTTCGAGATTGCAGATATTTTCTATTTATGGTGGTGCAATAATTTTAAAAGTCACTATTATCTAGGCTACAATTTTAATAATATTAAACTTTGAATCTATACAATAGTTATTATTTGAAGATTTGAAGTTACTCTTTATTATTATAATATGTCAATAGCTTGTTTGTTTGGTTAGTGAACATATCTTCAAGAATATCACAAAGAAGTCGAATTACAGAAGCTTAGCACCGTTTTGGCAAAATTTAGAGCTTATTTAATATTGCAATCGTTAGTAAAATTGTTACTTTTAATTAATTTTATTTGTCAATTCCCACATTACGCATATTTTGGAATAACTATTAACTAGCTACTATATTAAGAAAAATCCTTGGCACTAATATAAACACAGATTGTTCCGCAATTATTCGATAGAATTAATAAATATAAAACTTTGTGTTACGAAAAAAATATTTTGGCGATAAATTGATAATTTATCAATGGTACTTAGTTATTGTTTAATCTATATTACTCACATGCTTTAATAACTAACTGGCAGAGTTAACAGATAGTTGTCAATAAAAATGATATTACGATAGTAAATATAAACGTGTGTGCGTTCCCAGATGCCCAAATTATCAAAAAAACCTTAAAATAAAATAAAATCTTTGAAAACGGTTAAAAATAAAGTCTTCTAAATAAATATGTTATGCCTTATTAATTTCAACCGGCATTCAATTATGTAATCACTAAAATTTATTGAATTAAAATATCTTTATAGTAACATAATAGCTGTAACGAAAATGTCATAAATCAGTTTAGTATTTTCTAGTGAATTGCGTTGAGTTTGTAACATGCTATATATAATTTACTTCCACTAATTTGAGGTTTTAAAAGAGTGTCCATAATTTGAAATATATTTTTATAAAATTCAATAGCATTAAGTGTAGTCTACCGGTATTGTGCGTATATTAAAATTATTTTAAATCAACAATATCCATAAAAATTGAAGCTAAAATGTCTATTTATGCTTTATCACAAGTAAAATATTTAGCTATTCAATTTTTATTTTTAATCACGCATCTAATCGTTTAAATCAAATACGGATAGTTATTACATTTGTGTATAATTAAGATCAATGTGTTTCTATTAAGAAGTCATTTAAAATTGATACTTACATATATTTGTCCAGAAAAATATGTCTTAAACGCCAAAATGCGTTTCCTCTTGTGAGTTATACTAGGTTTAACTGTTAATTATACTGGGAGATTTTTTTTACCGTCTGGAAAAAGAAATAGGGTGTAACATGTGAACGGAATAAAAGCCTATGGCACTGGTATTTTACTTTTATTTTTTTATTTTACATTAACATTTCATGAAATTTATACTACTAATTTGAAATAAACTTTCGGAACTATAAAAAATTATAAGAAATTTTTTGAACTACATAAATTAATTAATTAAAAACTATTGAAATACGTACCTAATACGTACCTAATTAGTAGTATTTATTGATAGATCAATTTCATAATATGTTAATGTAAAATAAAAAAAATATTGTGAAATATCAGTGCCATAGGCTTCTACTCCGTTTACATGTTACACCCTATTTTTTCCAGACGGTAAAAAAGTCATCTAGTACTTTACTTTCAACTAACCTGAGATAAATACGCTACGGAATGCAATGTACTATTTTTCCAAAACTAGAAAGAAGTAAATGCTAAAGTTTGCTTTTAAATATCTTCATGCATTACAATATGTCGAAAATAGAATTTCATATATTCTTAGTACTGTCTTTAATTTTTTTTTGGCAGTCAATCTAACCTAACCTTAATAAAGAGTGAACACTAAGTAAATGAGATATATCCAGAAAAAAGTTGGTATTAATAATCATTACTTATATATTAATAAGACAACATTTGTTTAATCGATCTGATAACAATATGGCTGTCTTCGAGGCAAGAGTAAATAGGTTTATGTTAAGTGCACATTACGATCTTCGACTGCATCACCACTTAAAACAGGTGGTATAGTAGCCGAGCACTTGATTATAATAGTAAGTGCGTGGTTTAACTAATAGATTTTTGTTTACAGAACAGCAAGTTACAGGAGATGAGTAAATTGTAATCTTCCCGTGCCAGTTTTCTTTATTTATACTGGACACAGGAAAGCGGAAAAAACGATAAAACTTCTTCACTATAACTAGAATTCCTTGTTCATCGGCACGAAGGCCATCGTCATTTTTATCCACGTATGACAATGAATAACCAGTTATTAATAGTTTTTAGACAAGGTTTTAATGCATAGAGAGCATCTTCATAATTTATTGATTTGGGCAAATTCTTATCAGTTTTGTAAATTAAATATTTTGACAGTGTGCAATAAACATTATGATAATTAAACTTAAAATCTAAAAGTATTTTGTATGATCGAATGTTTGATTGTTATTGTATGGGTAAATATAGTATACCTCCAGTATAATACGGGTCAAAACTGGACCATAATACTTTAAAGGCATTTATCGAAAGAAAATCTAATCGAATTTTCGATCATACATGAAACGATTGTATACAGTCTGATCGAACGTACGAACACACCGAATGAGTGTGATCGGTCGTTTTAACGTGTGAAGCTGACAGATAGTACACAGGCTGACCGAGGGAGAGTCAGACGGTGTTGAAGGCCCTTCGACATGCACAGGGTAAATATCTAACGAATAGTTTAACAAATGTAGTTCACGGTTTCCTATGGAAACGTTTTTATTTGTTAATACAATGCATTAAAATCATAGAAGTGTCTTGGGTCCTTATTTTCTCTGCACTGTGTACTCGTACATGTGATAGTAATCGTATCTCCTAATATATTAACTACTATAATCTTCGATCAACAATACCAACTAGATAACGGGTCACGTACAATAATCATAGCTAAATACTGTCCGCATGAATATAAACTATGAAAATACATAAATTAAATAACATTTAGTGTGAAATCAACCTTAAGTTATAACAAATAAAGTTCTTTTTCCCGTTATTGCCTTGCGAGCTACACTCTTACGTGCAAGAGCTCACGTCTCATGTGCGCTCTTATTTACTGAGATGGATTTATTGCGCCAACCCGACATCTAGTTGGTATTGTTGATCGAAGACTATAATACAGCACGAGGCCGTGTGTATGTGAAAAGTTGTTAAAAGTGGGTAGAGTAGGAAGTGAGGGTGAGGGTGTGGGGAGAGGAGGAGTGGGCGGCTAGGGCGTGCGCTCACCGGGGCGGCGCCACTCGCGACACAGCACAGCGCAGGTACCTGCGGCCAGAACGGCCAGCGTGCCCAACACCACGCACACGGCCGCCAGCCACGTGCGCGTGTCGAACGACTCCGCGCCCTCCAGGAAGTGCTTGTACAGCTCTGCAACCGTATCACCAATTGCTCTATTTATGTCACATTCCTTTATTCAAAATTCACTTCCTCCTCTGTTTTACTACCGATAAAATGCAAGATAAACATTTCGTACTTTCTGTACGTGGTAGAGCCATGTTCCAGTTATATTAGTAGTATAGTTGTAGCACGAATGGGTCGGCTCTACCGGGGAAGGAACACGCTCTCACAGAATACCAGCGTGAAATGGTAGCTTGATGCTGCTGTGTTTCGTATGATGAGTGTAGAGACCCGGAAACCCTTTTTACTGGAAATGAGGCATTCTATCTTAATCCTCACGGGTGATAACGCATCTGCATTTTGATTCGTAATCGAAGATAAATGTAGATGTCTATGGGCCACAGCAACCACTTACCATCAGGTGGACTGTGTGCTCGTTTGTCACCCAATCCTATAAAAAAATTTCGGTAACATACTATTAGTTGGGAAACTTATAACGAATCAGTAGAAAAACAATTTCAAGTTATAGTAATTTCCTCATTTATTGATTGTAGACACGTACGATAAATATATTTTGAAACATCAGAACACAGATTACCCCTTAGGGGGTAATCTGTGCATCTGAATTTTGTCAACACGCATTGGGGCGGCGCTGTGGACACTTGCTTGCCCTAAAAACCACCTCAGAAATATGGGGAGGCCTGTAATCAACTGTGGGACGTATATAGGCTGTAACGACATGTAGGATTAGTATTTTCATCTAAAATAATTGAAAATTATATTATATAGATCGTTAGGATCTGCCCCGGATTCGCAAGAGTGATTTCTGGATGTCGACAACAGCGCTACTGAGTCCAATTGTGAATCTAAACAATCCAGGTATCTCAAACACAAAAAATGTTCAACAGATTCGGTCGAGCTAGCTCCGAGCTTTCAACGAGACCAACGGACAACAATTGAGTTTTATATATAAAGATTTTGTAATAATTTGTTAACATTCATAATAGAATGGACGCGTTACATGAAGCTTTGACTTTGACGACACTCAAACAAAAAGTCTATGTTTGTTATGTTATACGGAAAATGTCGTTTCCACTCTATCTCATAGTTCACATTGTAATAGTGTGGATTACGTTAAATGCAATTTTAAATGAAAACTCGGTCATTATTAGTTCTAAAGGCTTTTTCAAAATAGTTGATTTTGTTTTTATGTAAATATTTTAAAATCATCATTAAATAACAAATTGGTTACGCTTTAGTGCACATGTTGCGCGCCGCTGCGCCTGTGGGATTTATACAAGTCGGGTTAGATCATCAAAAAGGCAACTACACTTTATTAATTTTAAAGCCACAGTTTATTGACCCCTGTCGATCTTCGTGCCGTTTAATGTTATATACATCATGTGCAAAAAAAATACAGTACAATACCCTTCATTGTACACCAAGAAAGCAAATAACATGACAAAAAACAAACAAAGAGAAAAACAAAAGGCGGTCTTATTGCTATACAGCGATTTCTTCCAAACAACCTAAATAGTAAATAAAAAAAGTGATAAGTTAATTAAATTTTTATAAATATAAATTTCCTGTGGCGAAACTAATGAATATCTTTGATTTATTTTTTGTGTACCATGTTAAAATAGAAAAGGTACCATTTATTGTGTTTCACGTAGCGCCAATCTGTACATAATAATACAAAAACCAAAATACTTGTAAGTATCGATATTTCAAATAATTATAAACAATACAATATTAGACAAGAGCAACATTCAGTTAAGAGCGGCCAACCGACCGTGACCCACGTGACCAACGAATGTTACCGAATGCTAACCGAGCGCTCAGGCGCTATCTCTCTCTTTTCGCTTTGCCTCTTTTTCTAACATTGCGCTGGATGAAACAATAAGCTTTTAAACCATGCCCGCATTGACGATCGACGGGCCCGAAAGGGTCCTCTTAAGTCTACTTACCAAATACCATTCTAATTAAGGGTGGGCGTTGCGACGACGAACCGTTTACAAAGACCGTTTTGTGTTCTGCGACGATGAAACCGTTTTACGTACTGTGTTCAGTCTTCGTTGCACAAACCAGTCTTCGAATTACTTGGTGCGATTTTTTATTTTACGCCTATGAAAATACAGTCGAGAACGCAATGATTCAACTACCTATCTCAATCGTTGCGTCGTCGTCCTTAACGTTCCACGTTATATTTTGGTCTTTGGTTCCGCGTTCATTTACAAACGTAGCCAGAGACTAAGCAATCCATACAATAAAAATTGAACTTTCTGTCAATGATATACAGTCGCTAATGTTAATGGTAATGCTAAGTCTGTCGGAGCCAGTCCTAAGCCTGGAAAAGTATGAAGGGAAGCTCATTTCATGTTAAGTTAGTAGATTTGGTTAAGTAAAGTAGATCGATAAAACTAATTATTGAGCAAACCATTTTATACATTTCTAATCGTTGAAAGTTGTAAGGAATTGCAACCATTTCACTCGATGAAAATGCAGTTCTATTCCACGTTAGATAAGTTTCGTCCTATAAACCGTCTTCAAACCAGTTGCAACGACGACCGTATTCTGCAACCGTTTTCGTCGTCGCAAACGCGGTTCGTCCGTCAAAGATTAGACAACGATCCACCACTAATTCTAATAAAAATATTGAATTGAATAAAACTAATTTTATTATTAATTAACAATTAAAAGTTAAAGGTAAACTTCGTTAACTATGACATCGGGACTTCAAACACCCCAGTCGCGCCCGTGACCATTCCTTGGGAAGTTGACGGTGACCTGATATCCGACCGAATCAGAGATCAGCAGAAGATACAACAGGGAAGGTGCATGGCCGTCCACATATGAAATTCTCGTTAACGGCGTAACCGGGTGTTAAATCATACCAAGTCAAGGCAAAGTCATAAACTAATCTTCCTGTACGATCTGTTAAACGTGAACCGAGCCAACCAGCGAAGTGGGCATATAAATTGCTGGTAAAATTAGTTTTATTCAATGTGCAGTATTCGCGTATATGTTTTTTTTAATAACATATCATTATGAAAAATATTAGATTTCGAAGACGTTTATATGTGGTAGAGTTTTGCTGAAACTATATTACTGGTATAGTTGTAGCAAGAATGGGTCGCCTCGACCGGGGAAGAACCATGCTCTCACAGAATACGAGAGTAAAATAGCAGCTTAACACTGCTGTTTCGTATGGTGAGTGTAGAGAACCGGATACCCTTTTTACTGGAAAAGAGGCATTCCATCTTAGTCGTCACGGTCGAAAACGCATCTGCATTTTGATTTCCAAACGAGGATAGATGTAGATGTCTATGGGCCACAGCAACCAATTGCCATCACATGGAAAACGTGAACAGATCAACAATCTATTGTATATTAAAAAAAAAATTACGTCGTGGGGCCCCGATGCAGCACACATGGGTCAGCTACACCGGGGGACGGACCATGCTCGCACAGACTAGTCAACTTTAACAAGTTTAACAAGTTTAAATAGCCGCATAATGCTGCTATGTTGCAGTCCTATGGTGAGTTACCAAAATCGAATAACCTTTTAACTGGAACGAGGAATTCCTTTTTTTTTCTTTAAAAAGAATATTAACAATGATAAAAACATTACCAATATTCCCCTTAACCACTCGTGGTAAGCTTGAATTGCTTGTGTTACAAGTGGTTCACGCCAGTAGTCGAATGGTGGATTCGAACCCACGACCTTTTGAGTTCGCGGTCCGCGCCCTGCCATTGGGCTACTGTCGCTTATAATCTTTCTAATCCCTATGGGTGAGATCGCGTATTGGAAATACAGACGCGATCTATATATACCCAATCTTGCAAATCACTAAAAATGATTGGACAAATGATAAATTTCTTTGATTTGTTTGTGACAAATGATTATGAAAATGGGACCTGTGGTAGCTCAGGGTAACGCACTGGCTGTGAATTTTACAGAATTTTGAAAATGTAAATAGCAATTTTAAATGCTGATTTACCACGTGCTAAACGGTTATGTTATATATATAACCTAATGACCTGCATGTCAGAGAAATTAAAAAAAACATTTCGAAGACACGTAGGACTTACGTTGCCGATACACATTGGGGAAGGGCGGTGGATACTTCTTTTCCCGAAAAAACCCCTCAGTAATGAAAGGAAACCTGTGTCCAGGAGTGACACATATATGGGATGTAACTTTGTTTAGCTTTGGATAAAATAATCGATTATTAATATCACTATTTGTGGGTAGAACTCCTGTCTCGCTTAGAACAGTTTTTTATATAAGAGAGGTGGAACCGAGCGTTCAGCTCACATGAGGGTAAGTGACTACCGCCGCTCATGAACAACTGCAACAGCAGGGAAATTGCTGGTGCGTTGCCAGCCTATTAAAAAAGAGTAGGCTCTTCACTCTTCGAGAAATCGGTGAAAATTAGTAGCTGCTGAAATTAGTCCGAACAATTCCTCTGAGCACTCCCCGGCTCTCTGACTATCTACTTCTAAAATCTAGTTGCAGTCTAAAAAAAGTACGTACGTTCCACACATGGTAGAGCGCCGCTGCAGTTTTATTATGGTTATAGCACGAATGAGTCGACTCGACCGGGGAAGTACCACGCTCTCACAGAATACCAGCGTAAAATAGCAGCTTAATAACGCTGCTGTGTTTCGTATGGTGAGTGTAGAGAACCGGAGACACATTTTACTGGAAACGAGGCATGTTAGTCCTCAGAGGTGATAACGCATCTGCATTTTGATTCCAAATCGAGGATAAATATAGATGTCTCTGGGCTACAGTATCCATTTACCATCAGGTGGACGGTGTGCTCGTCTGTCACCCATATTTTTCTATAAAATTTCTTATATTTACGCGAACACTAATGCGTAGATCGGACCAAAAATTAATATTCAAAACTGAAAGTAGCCGGTCTAACTGTTACATCGGGACGTCAAATACCTCATTCCCCCCGTGACCATGGGTGCTGTAAAGAACCCGAAACGTCGGGAATGAAAGAGTTAGAGAAAAACCTGATAAAATCCGTAAAATTAGTTTCATTTAAAAATAATAGGTTTTTACACGTGAAAATGCCATTCTGCAGTACTGGCCATTTCGAATCAAAATTTTGGTAAATCATTTCATTAATTTTATTTTAAAAACATGGAATTCTTTTTTCAAAATTAGTCATTTGTTTATTGATTAGCATTATATTTTCATCGCTATTAAATCTTTGTAATCATATTCATATTTGTAATCATGGATACGTTAAAAGATTTGAGTAATTATGGAATATTAGTACCGTCGTGGCAGCAACGCGGCACCAGCGGCACGCAACATCAACGACATTTACGGAGCGAATACTACAAACGAACATACCACCACCGTTATTGGTTTGCCCGCAGCCGTTCTGGAAATTTCGACCTAAAAGATGAGCCCCGTGGTCGTCCGAAAACTTTGATCAACAATGACGAATTAAAGGTGATTGTGTAAGCTGATGATGATACTCTATCTACGGTCGGAGTAACACCAGCATTCGACGTGAGCATCAAGATATATTAATCACACATATGCCTTCCACTTCTCGGACACATACGAAGCAATATTGAACCGCGTTGTTACCTGCGACGACAAAATGGATTCTGTTTGACAATAGCAAGCGCTCAATAAGTTGCTTGTTGGTTCAGCACCTTAACAATGTCCTAAAGGAAAACTTACCCCTAGAAAAGTGGTGGTCACTGCTTGGTGGTGTAGCGCCGGTGTGATTAATCACAGCTACTTACCAAACGGGGTGAGCATTACCGCATATGTGTAATGTGAAGAACTGAACACAATGATGGGGAAGCTCGCACGTCTCTAACCAGCTTCTGTCAATCGCTAGTTCCCGTTGCTCCTGCATGCGCGCGACCTCATAGATACTGCGCAACAGACGGTCTTCCAGTTACAAGAGCTGGGGTTCAAATCTCTCCGTCATTCGCTTTCCTCGCCACACCTTGCGCCTACAGAGTTCAACGTTATCCAGAATTTGGCAAACTTTTAGCAGAACAAAATTCAATACTGTAGAGGCAGTACAAAATGCCTTTGAAGAATTTGTTGCCTCTCCCGTCCAACTGATTTCTTCAAGGAAGATTACTAAACTGCCACTGCGTTGGCATAGATACATCAATTGCATGGGTGATAACATTGATTAGTAGAAATAAAAAAGGGAAAAAATTACGTCACCTTATTTCATAAAAAAAACGGCAAACTCATAGGTAAAGACTTACTTATATTAGGTCCTTACATATGAAATTGGCGTTTTGTACGGGAGGAATATAAAGTCAATCTTTTAAAAATATGCACCGTTGTTATCAATGCACTTTTGCCATCTCATAGGTAGTTCATTGATCCCTTTACTAAAAAAACCATGGGGGCGAGAATTAATAAACTCTTTGAAGGCGGTTTGGACTGCCGCATCGGAGTAGTTGAATTTTTTTCCTTTAAAGAAGACATCCAAATATTCCGGAAAAAATGGTAATCTGTTGGAGCAAGGTCCGGGGAGTACGGTGGATGTCGCAGACATTCCAATTGTAGCTCATCTAACTTAGTGGTTGTTTGTTGTGCAGTGTGTGGTCTTGCGTTGTCGTGAAGCAACAGTGGCCTAGAGCGATTGACCAATCTCGGTTGTTTAGCAGCTAGTTCTTCCTTCATGGTTTGCAGTTGCTGACAATAGATATCTGTCGTAATCGTTTGGCTGGAAAGCTGTAGTGAACGACACCGGCACTAGTCCATCAAACACTCACAAGTAACCTTTTCTGAGTCAATTTTGGTTTAGAGCAGAATTTGGCTGGGTCTCTCCAGGGTTCAGCCATTGCGACGAGCGCTTCTGATTATCGTACAGTATCCACTTTGCATCACAAGTAATGATTCCATTTAAAATGCCTTCATTTTTGTGCCGGTTGAGCAAGTAACACAGCAGTGGACGCGTGTTTGCAAGGTCGATTCATTCAATTCATTAGGTACCTACCCATCGTTCAAGTTTTTTTACTTTCCCGATTTGCTTCAAGTGGATTAATACAGTTTTATCACTTACCCCGAAGCCTGCAGCTATCTCTGAAGTGCTTTGTGATGGATCCACTTCCACAATAGCCTTTAATTCTTCATTTTCCACTTTGGTATCCGGCCGTCCACGGGGTTGGTTCTGAAGGTCGAAATTTCCAGAACGAAAACGTTAAAAACAAAAACGTACCGTGCTTTCTTTTGCGACACCAGCGTCGTACACATCCTTAATCCTTCGAGCTGTTTCTGCAGCACTGGTGCCACAGTAGAACTCGTACTCGTAAATATACCGATATTTCATGTTTTCCATTGTGCGGTAAAAAGCGACGCCAAAGAAAAAAATAATGAGGAAAAAACAAATGAATGAATGTTTTCAAAACTCAAATGTACCAGCTAAATGAATTTATAAATTTGAATTTGAAATTCTTAACCAAAGAGGAGATATTTCAGATCAAAGTGGTCAGTACGACAAAACGCTAATTTCATATGTAAGGACCTAATAATATTCGTATATCACACTTACCTTTTCTATATACAATATATGGTTTGTGACAGTAATGTTCATAATGGATTATTCTAAAACGCTGTAAACTGAAAATACACTTCTTCATATGAACAAATTTTCAGTTGTGGTCCAAACATGGATAAATTTATTATTCATAATCTATTATGAAAATAATTGGTTACCAATAAAAACATTATAAAGTAACAACATTAGGTGAGGCAGAGTGCCTAACCCACTGAGGACTACGGCTGGGTTCCAAAGTCTAGTTATCGTTACCGTTACGGCCTAATAAAGTTCACAGCTGAACATAGGCAGGCATAGATTGCCCCATAAACGGGATACTGGCCATAGTTGGCACGTTTGGCAAGCGGGTTGCTACCCGCAGTTTTTTTTTTTTAATTTTTAGTCATTATTACTCGTAAGAAGAAGCATCAGCCTAAAAACAAATTCGAACCTGCTTCCTGGTCGCTGTACAGCGTGGTGGCGAGCACCTCGACGGGTGGACCGGGGCCCAGCACATTAGTCGCCCACACGCGAAACCAGTACGACGCGTTAGGCTCCAAGTGGTACACGTCTATTTGACGCTGAGGAACAAAAATGTGACTTATCTTGAATTTGTAAATGTTTTACGTGGCAGAACCACGGTGACCGGGGTAGACGCTGCTCTTACAGAATACCAGCGTAAAATAGCAGCTTAATGCTGCTGTGTTTCGTATGGTGAGTATAGAAAACCAGGCATTCCATCTTGGTATACAGGGGTGATAACGCATCCGCATTTTGATTCGTAATCGAGGATAGATTTAGATGTCTATGGACCACAGCAACCACTTACCATCAGGTATACTGTGTGCTCATTTGTAACCCTATCCTATAAAAAAAATATACACCTCAATCGTCACGTTTAGCAGACAGATGGTCGATCACAGTATCAGATGTGAACACTTTTGCCATCTAATGTACTTAGTCCAGTTCGAATTTCGGTCACGACGGCCAGTCTCAACGGAGACAAAGCAATCTGCACAGGAGAGGATTATAGTGCGTAAGTATATGCGCAAGCACAGATGCACTCCCTATTCCCTCAACTCTTAAGCGCAGGACTTTCGGCTTTACATGCTTTTCGAGCAAGGGAGTGAAAAACCGCCAATTTCATGACTCCGGACTGGTTCTAAGAATTTTTTGACAGTAAAACCCAATAACTGATTTTGGCCTGACCCGGGATTCCAGCCCAGGATCTCATAATCAGTAACCACGTTTGCTATCAGTAGACAACGAGGCACTCAAAGCAATAATACAAGTAGATAATGTATATGAAATAGTTATATTCAACACTATCTACTTGTATTATTGCTTTTTTTTTAGATTTTTTTATAGAAGTGGGGGCAAACGAGCATACGGCTCACATGATGGTAAGTGACTCACGCCGCCCATAAACAACCGCAACACCAGGGGAATTGCAGGTGCGTTGCCGGCCTTTTAGAAAGGAGTAAGCTCTTTTCTTGAAGGCCCCTAAGTCGTATCGGTCCGGAAAAGTCGCCGGTGGTAAACAATTTCACAGAGAAGTTTTACGAGGAAGAAAACTCCTTGTAAAACGCACAGTAGTAGACCGACAAGCATCCAGATGATGAGGATGGTATCAGGAAATTTGACGCGATGTGCGTTCGTGGAATTTGGCGGCTGAAACTAATCCGAACAATTCCTCAGAACACTCTCCATGGTAGATAAGATAGAAAACGCAAAGGGATGCAACATCTCTTCGCAGCGCCAGTGAATCGAGCATATGTTATCAGTGTCGTATAGATTTACAATAAAATCCTCACCGAGTTAGGGCTGATGTGGTTGGGGCTGATCGGCCGCCACGGCTCGAGAGTGCCGTTGACCGGCATCGCAGAGCGATACTGCGCCGTGAAGTCGATAATGGGGTGCCCGCCGTCGCCCGCCACGTTCCACAGTATCAGCGCGAGGATTGTCGACGCGTGGACTGTCACGTTGGCCAGTGGCGGTGGTTCCGCTGTCGATTTAACAGTGACAAATATAAGTTTGACGTAATTTATTACCATTTGGTTGCACCGTAAGAAAATCTGTTACCACATCTCATCTTGTGTGTCTTTTAAGATTAGTGTTACTGTGTTTGGTATGGTAGTGTAAAGAATCGGTCATCCTCTTTACTGGAAACGAGGCATTCCATCTTAGTCATCAGGTGCGACAACGCATCTGCATTTCGATTCTTAATCGAGGGTAAATGTAGATTTTTAATGTCTATCTAATATCATCCACTTACCATCAGGTGGATTGTGTGATATATTTAATAAGGGTGTCCAACGAGGACACCCTTATTAAATGTATAATATATATATATATATATATATATATATATATATATATATATATATATAAAGGGTTTCCTTTCGGAACATGGAACGAAATAGTGTTTCGAATCTCCACACAGCATCTCAGTTTCATTTTATTACAATGCAATAATTATTGTAATTAGTCGATGAACCCTTTCAGAAATGAGAGGTCTATCTATCTGCGAGGTTTTCAACGTGGTAGAGCAACGCTGCAGCAATATTATGGCTTCAACAGAAATGGCAATGGTATAGCAGCAATGCTATTATGTTACGTGTGGTTAGTGTATTAAAGCGGAGAACTTTCTAATAGGCACTCAAGTCCAGTCTTTAGGAGTGAAAACGTGTATGTATTTTGATTTTTAATCGAGCAATAATCTAGATGTTTGTGGGTTACAGCATCCACTTACCATCAGGTGGACTATGTGCACGTTTGGCACCCTTATTCTATAAAAAGAAACGCTTAAGGTAATTAACAGAATCAGGTGTTACTTTGCGGAAATCCATTATACATTATAGGTATCCATAATCCATTACACATTATATGAACGGAACGCTTAACTTTAGACGACAAAAAAGAAATAAGATAAGTAAAGCCCAAAGAGTAGTGTTTTTATCAAAGTGATCACTTTCAAGTCGAAAAGCTTGTCCCTAGAGACAGACGTAATTTAATAAAGAGCGTTTTAAACGCCGGACTATGCTAATAGTAAACCCCACCTGTATACACAGTTGAGTCAATATGCCGAGCACACACATAGGATGGCTCATATTCGGAACTTTGTGGGACTGTCCGGACTGGAAATTGTGCAATATTGTACAATTTGCGTGACGAAGGCCGAATGTCTGTCAATAATAACATTTATGATAAAAATCTAGGAGATTTTGTATAATACCAATAATTTACAATTAAATATTGTACATACATAAACATTCACGCCTGTCACCCGGAGGGGTAGGCAGAGACTACAGACTTCCATTTGGCACGATCCTGACACACATCCATATACCTACGCATACATGCTCGTCGGTTAAGGGTACTCCTAATTTTGCCCGTTTTCAATAAATCGCCAATTTGGTCGACAAATTTTCGCCTCGAACGTCCCTTTCCGACTCTGCCATTCACTTCTGCAACATAAATTTTCTTTGACACTCTTTCCTCATTCATTCTTTCCACATGAAATATTGTACTCCTTTTAAATTAGGATTTGTTGGTAAAATATGAAGATAACTTAATATACATAATTCTTCTGTCCATGTGTATGTGACTCTGAATTTCTCCTGAACGGCTTGACTGACCCATTTTGATGAAATTTTGTGTGGGAATTTTTGTTGTTGTGATTATGTTGATTTGAGAATGGTTTAGATTTCAAAGTGGATCCGGTAGGTGGCGGTGTTGTTCAGATCTAGAAATCATCTATGCGAAGCCGGGACAGATCGCTGGTTTTTCTATAAAATTCAAATGACATACGAACTTATAGTCTAGGTGAAGGTAAGTGGCTACTGCAGCCCAGCTAGTTAGTAATAGTAAGCGAAACTGACGATCATGGTCCCGTGTTCGAATGCCAGGTCGTGCCAAAAATCAGTTATTGAGTTTTTCTTTAAGATATTCTGAATAGCAGTATGGAATCGGAAAGTGAGTGGTGATTCACCCCACAGCACCTCGGAAAGTAAGTAAAGACGGAGGACCTGCGCCTGATCTCTGGTCGGTCGAATAAAATTGCCGTCTAATCACACCTGCCGCTGAGATTTAAATTCAGACAAGAGGATATAATTTTTTTATAGGATAAGGGTGACAAACGAGCACACAGTCCACCTGATGTCCACTGTCCACATCTACATCTATCCTCGATTACGAACCAAAATGCAGATGGGTTATCACCCGTGAGGACTAAGATTGAAGGCCACGTTTCCAGTAATTCGGTTCTCTACACTCTCATACGAAACACAGCAGCATTGAGCTGCTATTCTAGGCTAGTATTCTGTGCGAGCGTGGTCCTTCCCCGGTCGAGCCGACTCATTCATGCTACAACTACACTACTAATATAGCTGCAGCATGGGTCCACCACGTATGAAACTTATTATTATCAGTGCAGCGCCATGAACAATTGCAAACAACTTCATACGAATAAGGGTACAGATGCGTTGTCCTCTGAGGACAAAGATGGAATAGCTCACAGCCTGTAATTATACCGGCCCTCTGTACCCTTCAAAAAGGAACACAGTAATGCATACACTGCCGTATAGCGGCAGAAATATCTGTCTAGTAGACATGTGTCAATCATCAATGATTCGTTCGTTTGAGCTGGTACACTTCAAAAGTATTGATGGTTCATTAATCTGTTTTTGAATGTTCCGGTACAACCAATAACAAACAATTTACGGAACCTTTTAAACTCGCGATTTGGTGTGAATTGTGTACGAGTCTAAAACCGACAGAATCCCGATTGATCTAAATGAATTGTTTTTAGTGTAAGGTACTGGAGCCCGAAATGATCCATTTGAATGATCAATCCGAATGTACCGGTACGCGTGACGAAATGTACTAGAATGATTCGGTCAGAAGAAAAGAATGATTGACACATGTCTATTGCCTAGATTGATTCTTAAGCCACTAACCTATACCTTTCGTTTTTGTCCCGGTATTTTCCGCCAGACTTAGCAGTACATACATAAATCACCTTGTTTTTGTTCAACGCATTTCTATTGATCCGCGGTTATTGGCATTTAAAATCGAGGACGTCGCCATAGGACGCTTTATACGGGCGAAACAATAGGGTTATACCTACGCACGCACCATATGCACATACCAAGCAAGTAATAAATAATATATCCTTGATTCTTTACAAGCTCGTTAGTGTTAACTGTTTGATTTAGACCTCTCCCGTTGTAGGAAGGATTAACTATCATGGCTCTCGTTAGATGGTGTGGCGGTGGAACCGTCACATATATTCATATCATCATTATCATCATAAGAGCACAGTATCTCAAAAGTTATACGTGGTAGACCCATACTGCAGCAATATTTGTATCGTTGCAGCACGAATGGGTCGGCTTAAGCGGGGAAGGACAATGCTCTCATAGAATACCAGCGTAAAATAACAGTTCAATTCTGCTGCGTTTCGTATGGAGAGTGTAGAGAACTGGAGACCTTTATTACTAGGAATGAAACATTCAATCAGGGGTGGCAACGCATCTACATCTTTATTCTTAATCGAGGATAGATAGATATTTATGGGCCACAGCATCCATTTACTATCAAATGGACAGTATGCTCGTTTATCACCCATATGCTATAAAAAAACCTACCAAAGTTCACTGCTGAACATAGGCCTCCCAAAAAATTGCTTCATAAGAGGGATTTTGCCAGGGCTGCCATAATTTTTTGAATTTACTAGATGTTATCAAAAATTTTATTTCATTACGCGAAAATAAGGAAATAAAGTTCTAATAACTACTATAACACGCGGCACCTTGAGGATCACCAACTGATTAGTGACCGCCAGTACGGTTTCCGTCGCGGTCGCTCGACTGGTGATCTTCTTGGTTACCTAACTCATAAATGGGCGAAGGCAGTGGAGTCAAAGGGGGGAAGTATTGGCCGTTAGTTTGGGCATAGCGAAGGCCTTCGATCGGGTTTGGCACAAAGCGCTTCTTACGAAGCTTCTTTCCGATGGGCTTCCAGAGAAATTAAGCTTGTGTTTTCTTGAAGATTGGAGCATCAAGATTGTAGTAGACGGTGCATACTCTGATTACAAGCCCATTAACGCTGGTGTTACAAAAGGTTGCGTGCTATCACCAACGCTGTTTCTTTTGCATTTTAATGACATGTTGAAACCGGTAACATTCATTGCAGGTGGACGACAGCACTGGTGATGCTTTATACACCGGCCGTACCAATATTTTTCAGGAAAACGTGGCCGAGTACCAGTGCAAACTTGTGTCTGAAGTCGATACTTTGTTGAACAAAGTTTCGGACTGGGGGTGACTAAATCTAGTCCAGTTCAATCCCCAGAAGACACAAGTTTGCGCGTTTACCGTTAAAAAGAACCCTTTTGTCGTATGTCCTCAGTTTTAAATCACTTCCATTATTAGCTCAGCCAGTATCGGAAACCTCGGCGTCGACATATCGAGTGACGTGCAGTTTCGTGATCACTTGGAAGAGAAGTTCAAATTGGCTTCTAAAAAGCTTGGCGTGCTCTGTAGCGCGGGACAGTATTTCATGCCTGCATACCGCCTGCTGTTTTAAAAGGCGCAGTTTCGGCCTCGCATGGAATATTGTTCCCATCTCTGGGCTCCCCAGCGCCAGCGCAGAGCTGTTCGAATCGTCGGCGACCGTGCTCTTTATCGATCTGCGCGATCTATCACTGTGCGATTTAAAAGAAGTTTTTATCCTCGCACAACTTCCTTGTGGAATTGACTACCACCAGAGATTTTTCGGACCGATACGGCTTAGGGACCTTCAAGTAAAGAGCCTACTCCTTTTTAAAAGGGGATCTGCAATTCCCCTGGTGTTACAGTTGCTCATGGGCGGCGGTAATCACTTACCATCAGGTGAGCCGTATGCTCGTTTGCTCCTTCTGCTATAAAAAAACTACAATATAATGGGTTTTCGCAAAGTAACGCCCGATTCTATTAATGATTGTTGAATGACAAACGAGCACAC